GAAGAGACCTGGGTTCGGTTCCCGCTAAGGGCACGTACCTCGGTTGCAGTTTGTCCCCGGCCCTGGTTGGGTCGTGTGGGTGGCAACCACTCAATGTGTCGCTTTCACATCGATGTTTCTCTCTCTCTCTCTCTCCCTCTCACTCTATCTGAACAAAATATCGAAAAATGTCCTCGGGTGAGGATAAAAAAACAAACAAAACCCAATAAAGATTCTGACAGTAAATATTTTAGGTTTTGTAAGCCACTTACAACCACTATTACATATTCTTCTTTTTCTAAACCTTTAAAAATATAAAAAACATTCTTAGATGGCAGGCCACAACCCAGACTGGGCCTTGCAGGCTATAGTTTGCTGACCCCAGCATTTGAATGAACTCTCAAGGTCACAGATTTTGTTTACTGATGCATTCCCTGCACTGAGAACAGTATCTGGCACATAGCGAAAAGTAGATATAAAGCTGGTTCATTTGAATTAATAAAAGTATGAGCCCGGCCCAGCTGGTGTGGCTCAGTGGTTGAGCGTCAACCTATGCACCAGGAGGTGGCCGGTTTGATTCCCGGTTAGGGCACATGCCCAGATTGTGGGCCAAGTCCCCAGTGGGGGGCATGCGGGAGGTGGCCAGTCAATGTTCTCTCTCACTGATGTTTCTATCTCTCTCTCCTTCTCTCTTCCTCTCTCTCTAAACTCAATAAAGAAAAAAAAAAAAGTATGAGCCCGGCTGGGGTGGCTCAGGGGTTGAGCGTTGACCCATGCACCAAGAGGTTGCCGGTTCATCCTGGTCAGGGCACATGCCCAGGTTGTGGGCCAAATCCCCAGTGGGGGGCATGCAGGAGGTGGTCAATCGATGTTCTGTCTCATCGATGTTTCTATCTTTGCCTCTCTCTCTAAAAATCAATAAAGAATTAAAAAAAAAAAAAGTATGGTGTTACCTCAAAAAATTAAAAATTGAACTTCCATTTGACCCAGTGATCCCGCTTCTAGGAATATACCCTAAGAAGCCTGAAACACCAATCAGAAAGAATATATGTACCCCCATGTTCATAGCAGCACTATTTACAATAGCTAAGATCTGGAAACAGCCCAAGTGTCCATCAGTAGATGAATGGATAAAAAAGCTGTGGTACATATACACAATGGAGTACTACGCAGCTGTAAAAAAGAAAGATCCCTTATCCTTTGAGATGACATGGAGGGACCTGGAAAGTATTATCCTAAGTGAAATAAGCCAAGCAGAAAAAGGCAAAAACCACATGATCTCACTTATATACGGAATATAATGAACATAACAGTCTGAGGAATACGGTAGGCCCAGAAACATGGAAGTAGGGCACAGACTGACATCCCTCAAAAGAGGGGGTGGGGGGGTGGGAAGAGATAAACCACAGAACTAATATGCATGTATGCATGACCGATGGACATGGACAACAAAGCTGGGGATGGGGAGGGGGGTGCCAATGGGGTAAAAAAGGAGAAACATCTGTAACAAAAAAATAAATAAAAATCTTTTTAAAAAAAGAATAAAAAAAAGTAAAATAAATAAATAAAAGTATGAGAAGTTTAAAATGGAAACCATATTGGTACTTATTTCTGGCACCAAGAATGGGCTATACAAGTATTACTTCTCATTTAATCTGTATAGCAACCCCTGTAAAACTGTCGTTTTATAGACAAGGAAACTGGGGCTCAGAGAGGCTAAGGTACTCTCCCAAGGTCACAGAGCAAGAATATGACACATCCAGGATTTGACCCCGGGCAGCCTTGCTCCAGAAGGCACCTTCCAGCCTTCCAGCAGCCTAGCTCGGCTGCCCAGAACCTACCGGGCATCTGCCTGGCTGGGCTGCACCAGATGGGCCACTTCGTTGAGGTCCACATTATGGCGTATGAGATCCACAGCTCGGGCAGAGGCATCATTGGCAACCACGGATCGGAGTCCAGGCACCTCTCGGGCAAAGCGAATGGAACGAAGACCCGAGGCTGCCAGGCCCTCCAGCACTCGAAGGCCTTCCTGTTGAAGCAAGCAGGGAGCCAGTCCCACACACATCAATACCTCCATTCTCTGCTGGAGCCCCCACCACCTTCCTCCTACAGTTCTCCCCCTCCAGGAGCCTTCCTTCCTCTATCACCCACTGGACTCAGGGGCTGCCACCTATTTATGCCCAGGTCTCACCTCACAGATCTCCCCCACAGTGGCTGTTCGAGGTTGGTTTCCTGGGGCCAGGTCTGCACACTCTTTCAGTTCAGTTTTGTCCTCCTCTTGCTCTGACAAGTCCACCACCACCTTTTGCACCTCCTTTTCACCTGGCACCTTGACTGCAGCCACCCACAAACACAAATCAGAGGCTATCAAGGATCTCTCTGAAAAACCTCCTCTACTGTTCAGAATACAGAAGATTCGTGAATGAAAAATCTTCCCCAAAGTCCCTAGAAAATGGCTGAAGGAGCAGGGCTGGGGCCTGCTATGTAGCTGGAGCCTTTCCAGACTTTAGGGTGGAGGGGTATGGGCAGGGAGGGACCTCTGTGTGACCCCCGCCCACCAAGAGATTGGTCCTCCACTCACTCTGGATGCCTTTGGCCCCAAGCTGAATGCGAGCAAACTCAGTGATCACAGCACATCTGCGGAAGACGAAGGCTCGGCTCACATCCCCTCACTTCATAGACCCACTGCCCTTTGCCAAGCTGACCCAGGACCCCTGCTCACGTCAGGTCCCGGTTGAACTCCTGCACTGGGTTATAGAAGACTTCGTTGGCGCTGGGGAAGGCGATCTTGGCGGCCCCCTCGATGACCGTAGTCTCCTGGGCCTCAGGTGGGCGCTTTTCTCCGCAGGGCACTGTTCCGTTCTCCATTGGGGTTGGATTCGCCGGCCCCTGGGGCTCCATAAACCGAGTTCTACAGAGACCGCGGACGGAGCGGAGAGTCAGGTTTAGCCACGGAACGACCCTTGCAAGGGACATCCACCGTAGCCTCTGCCCGCCAAGCCTGGATCAGGAGGGCATAGAGAGGATCAGAGAGCTGCGTTTCCGGGTCGGGTAGCCTACACAACTGTGAAACAAAAGCTATAAAGCCCCTAGGCCACGGTAAGCTGACACCATCCCCCCTCTTCTGAGGATCGGCCCCTGCGAAGCCTGAAGCCCTCGAGTGGGCCCACCCCTGCACCATATCCCTCCCCTCGCCGCCCAGGCCCTTCTCACCTTCTCTCGAGAAACCGAGAACCGAATTAGTCTTGGTGCACATTTTCTGGATTAAGACTTGGGCGCCGCCATGTTGGCGCAGTGGCGGGTCATGTGGCAGAATTTAGCCAATCAGTGATGCTACCTACAGTGGACGGCCGGGATCAAAATGCACCATGGAAAGCTCAGAATGTGTTGTTTCCCTTGCCTTGATTACAGCGGCTCCACAGTAATTAAGGCCAAACGTCACCAGCCCATTTCACTGATGAGGAAGTTGAGGCTCAGAAAAGGGTGGTAAGCGAATAAATCCAACACCTATTGATCGTCCACTGGATGCTGGGTGCCATAACCACATTATTTCAGGGCATCCTGTAGGAAAAGATGAGGCTTTGAAATCACATTTATTGAGTTTGAATCCCAGTCCTATCTACCACATGTTCTTAGCAAGTTACTTAAACTCTAGACCTCACTTTCCTTACCTGTTCATTAAGAATCCTACCTTCCAAGATAGAGCAAAAATTAGAGGACAATACCCAGAAAGTGTGCAAAACAGCTTCCTTAACATAACCCTCAGTAGGTTCTAACCTGTGTAGGAAAAGAGGACAACGTACTGGTCTGGACGGTCTGGGTTAGCAGTCCCAGTTTGCCTTGCTGCTTGTTCTTAACCTTCTCTGTCCTTAAGTTTCCCTATTTGCACAATTGGCAGAACTTTTTTTTTTTTTTGGTAGAGATTTTATAGGAGTTATTTGAGGCAAACTGACGACGTTGCTGGGAAGCAAGATCTCAAATACTCTGGGGAGAACTTTTTAAGGTTCACTATTGGGTTGTGATGATAATTAAACGAGTTAGTGCAGGTAAAATGCTTATAACGGAATCTGGCATAGCATATTAACTTTTATTGTGGCTTCTTGACCCTGGGTTTGAATCTAGACGCCCACCACCACTTCCTTGCTGTGTAATCTTGAGCAGGTTTCTTCTGTTTATTTTATCCTCGCGGAGGGCATTTTTTTCCCATTGATTTGTAGAGAGAGTGGAAGGAAGGGAGAGAGAAACATATGTGTCTCACATCGATTGGTTGCCTCCATCGATCGGTTGCCTCCTGCACGCACCCCGGGGATTGAACCTGCAACCCAGGTACGTGCCCTTAACCGGAAATGGAACCTGCAACACTTTGGTGCGCCGGCTGACGCTCTAACCATTGAGACACCAGCCAGGGCTTTAGCAAGTTTATCTCTTTGTGCCTCTCTTATTTTCTATCAAGTGTGTGTGTGTGTGTGTGTGTGTGTGTGTGTGTGTGTAAAATAATTCCTACGTAAAAATGTTGATGTGATGTTTAAGCGAGATCATTCAGTTGTACTCTCTTCAGCAGCACATATATTAAAATTGGAACGAGATCCTTCACATAAAGAGCCTAAAACGCAACGTTTTACAGGAAACTAAAGTTCCGAAAAGGCAGAATGACTTGCCTCAGGTCGCGGGACGGGAAGGAGGCAGGGTCGGGATTCGAACTGTTAAGCAGAGCAAAGGTACCGGAGGAGACTCGGAGGGGCTGAAGCAGGAGGCGGAGACCCGAATGGGCGCGTTTGGTGCTCGGCTGGCCTCGCCTAGGGGGCGGGGCCGGGGCGTTGCGTGGGCGGGGCCGCAGCCGTTCCTTCCCAACCCGGCTGCGGCGGCGGCGCGGCTTGCGCTGGCTCGGCGCTCGGCTGGGGCGGCCTGGCCCACAATGAATGGCCGCCGCGGCTGCCGCTGCTGCTGAGGCGGAGGCCGCGGAGGCCGCGGAGGCGGAGGCCGAGGCCCCGGCGCAGGGGGGTGCGCCCCGGGCCCAGGCCCGGCCCCAGCCGCCTCTGCGGAGCCCGCCAGGAGCCCCCGGAGCGCGGCCACGGTGCAGGTGAGGCGGCCCGCCACAGGCCGGGTTCCGGCCTCCTCTCGCTAGGGCGACCTGAGGGCATCCGAGGTCCGGCTAAGGGCTGAGGGGGAAGGACTTGGGGTCCTCCTCCGAGGGAGGAAGGACCAGGTCCACAGCCTGCACTGTGGCTGGCCGGCGAGTGCGTGGAGCCCTGGCCCCCGCCAGCGGCCTTGAGTGTCCAGCCCCAGGCCGGGCCTTGGGCCTTGGAGGATGGCCTGATTGGGCCCAGACCTCCTCCCCTCATTCCCGGCGGGGGGTGGAGGGAGCAAAGCCGTGCCGGGGCAGGTGCGGGGGTTCAGGGAAGTTGGAGGACCCAAGGGATAAAGTGAGGCAACCAGGGAGCCTGGAGGGGGAGGGGAAGAAGGAGTCGGGCTTTGGGCCGGCCGAGTGCGGGGAGGAGGGGAGGGCGGCGCGGCCGGAGGGAAATGGCCCGGAGGGGATCGAGGCGGGGCCGGGCTTGCAGGTACGGCCGCAGTAGGAGGTGGGTGGGTCAGGTTACAGGCTTAGGGGCGGCTGAGAAGCCCAGGAAGTGGGGCAGGGTGGGCGTGGGCGGAGTTAGTTCGGAATGGGGGGGTGGAGGGAGCGGGCTGAAGACGAGATCCCGGAGATGTTTGCAGGGGTCACCTGAGGTTAGGGTTGGAGAGATGTTTAGGGTGAAAGGCCAGAAACGGGAGAGATCAGGTAAGTTGTAAAACTACTGTAGAGCTTTGGGAGTTGGGGGAGGCGGAGGTTTTGAGTCAGGCAAATGGGGATGTGGAGGCAGGTCCCGAGAAACTGGAGTTGATCGAAAGGCACGTGCCAAGATGCCCCCCCCCCCTTTTCCGGCCAGACGTTGGCTCTGGGCTAAACCTGGGGGGTTTCTTCTTTCCCATACCTCATTCTCATCAGGCTCTGGGTCCTCAACCTACCTACCCTTTGTGCAAGCGTCTGCCGGCTGTTCCAAGACGCTGGCCCGCCAGGTGGTTGTTTGTGTGGGCAGCTTGGGAACACCTAGCTCGAGCATCTTGTTTACCATGGCAGTGGCCCTTGCGCACCCCCACCCCCATATATGTGCAGAGTGGCCGCCTAGCTGCCCTTACCTGAGTATCTAAGGGTCCTAGAATTTTTCCTCACTTATTGTGACCAGAGCCTTGAGGCGCAAACCTATGGAATGGGCCCTCACAACTACCTTCTTATACTGTGGCTCCCCAAGCACCAGCTTCCTGGAGGTGAACTGGGAGGTTAGTGTATAGTTTTGTTCATTGTGTCTTGGAAACTTATGATGAGGTAATGGGCAGGTCACCAAGAAGGGGATCAAATCAAGCACCTACACCGTGGCCCAGGCCCTTGGGGTTACTAACGCCAGGGCTCAATTCTAGGGTGATGTCCTGGCCAGGCCCCTGCTGAATTTGCTGGTCGGATGAGCTCATTGATTGCTCACCACCACCAGGTCAGTTTAGGCCTTCTCTGTGGTACAGAAGCTGAGGCTTGGGGTGGCTTGTCCCAGGTCACATGACTAGATACTGGCAGACTGGGGTTGACTGACCCTCAGCCCAAACTCACAACCCCCCGAGCTGGCTTTTGAGGGTTGTGACTGGAGGAGCTCCCCAATATCCCAGATTCCTTGGCAGGAATTCTCTTTCCTCTTGCCATCCCAAGGGATGGGTCAGTACCCTTTCAGACAGACAGTTTTCATGGTGTCACAGGGTGTTGGAAAAGTGAAAGCTTTCTGAGTGCTCTCATCGCCCATTCCTCTTCTAGGAGCCAAGAGGTCAGAGGTGATGGAGCTGTGGACTGGCAGGGAGAGGTGGTTATGAGGTTGGGACTGGGTTCTGGAGCTGCATTTTGCTTTGCTTGCCTGGTTTGTCTTTTTCCCACTTTGGTCTCGGGTCAAGCCACCCCAGCTTTTGTTCCTTTTCTTTGAGCTAATTGCAAGGCTGTTACCAGTGTGTCCTGGGAACACTGACTTGGGAGCCTAGCACCTGAGGCAGGAGCCACAGACTGCTGGGTTGAGTGGTATCAGCCAGATCTGGGTTTAATGATGGGTTGTCACCCTTATTCACTCCCTTCCCCCAATCTCCCCATAATTCCTAGAACTGCCTTCTACTTTAGGCCCTGGCCTCCTCCTCTCTGTGTCTGGCCTGCTGATCTGGAAGGGATGGGAAACTGGGTCAACAGCCCCACGTAAAGAGGCCTTTCCCCTGCCTGGTTGGGCTGAGGCTGGGGCCTCCTGGGCTTCGTACTGAGGACAGGGGTGGCTACCTCTAGTCACACAGCTGGAGCAGGGGCAGAGACTGGTCTCAGTTGGCCATGGTGTGTAGATGGCAGAGAACAGGGTGATGGATTTGAGCCTGCACCCGGAGCTGTAGAAGGCACATTTAATAACTAACTCTTTTCTGTGAGGACTTAGGGTGTACAGACCTAGGGCGCCAGAGGAAGCCATAATTGGGGGGTGAGGATAAAGGGACCCTTGGGACAGTTTTATTTCACTAGGATATCGACCCCCTGGTAGGGGTTAGGGGAGCAGCCCTGAATAACAGATTCTATTATTTATTTTTTTTATCCTCACCTGAGGACATTTTTCATTCAGATAGAGTGGGGAGGGAGAGAGAGAGAAAGAAACATCGATGTGAAAGGGACACATCGAGTGGCTGCCACCCGCACGACCCAACCAGGGCCGGGGACAAACTGCAACCAAGGTACATGCCCTTAGCGGGAACCGAACCCGAGTCTCTCTGGACCGCAGGCCGACACTCTAACCGCTGAGCCAAACCGGCCAGGGCGAATAACAGATTCTAGAACCACTCTCAGCAACTTTTATTCTAGTGAAGATGACCAACAAACAAATGATCAAGATCATGTCTGCTATTCCTATGTTCACAAACTTCGTAAGACAAGGGGAAATGACATTGAGGGCTGTGTTGGGATGAAGAGCTTTAAATTGGATGGTCAGGGAAGGCTTTCGGAGATCTGATCCTTGAATAGCAAGAAATCATCAGCCTGTGGGGGGAGGGGGGCTTGGGCAGGGAGGGGCAAATGTTCTAGGTAGGTGGACAGCCCATTGAGAGCCTTTACTGAGCATGTGCCAGGCTCCAGCCAAGAGCTTTAAATATCTTGTCTTTGTGAGGGATGGACCAAGGGCTGACCCTAATGTGTGGACAGACCCTTTATGCCATTCACAGAAAGGAAGCACCCAGCCTCAGTATCTCCTGGGTCTCCCCATCACCCCAGATACAAGTCCAGACCCCTTGTCTTGCGTCCAGGACCTTTTACAATCTAGTGCCTCGTCAGGCATTGGGTAGTCCCAATAGGTTCTTGAGCAGGGCTATGAAGAGATGAAAGCTTTAGTTGGCCTTGCAGTACCCATTGTTAGGGTCAATATGGAGGATTGGGGATTGGTCTGGTGAGGTCTGACTGGGAGTTCATCAATGTTATTGCAAAGCTTATGATGGAGAAGGGCTTATGATGGCCTGCCAGCTCAGGTGGGGATTACTGCATTTGAGGCGATGGTGAGCTGCCCAGGCTTGAAGACAAGGAGGCGCTGTTCACACTAGCCACTGCTACTTCTGTTCCTCTGTCACACATTACTTTCCTGGGTGCCCCGCTGCTCTGAGCACTTTTGCACATTTTGAACTCATTTAAGCCCATACCTACCATGAATGAGCAAGCGGGCCCACCATCCTGTCTCTGATCCTGGGTCCCCTTGCCCGAGAATATCATCCCCCATCTGTCCCTGGAGAGCCCTTTGAACCACAGAAGCCATGAGGTGGGACTAGGCAGGTGGCTGTCTTGTGTCCAGTGCCTGGTTGTGTTCATTGTCCAGTCTCTCCCCTGCTGTTTCCTCTGTGAAGATCTCAGCATCCTTAGATTAGAGACCTGCATGTTGTCTATGAGAACTATGGCTTTGTTTTGTGACTTAAGTGTAGAGTGGATTTGGATGAGCTAACACACTGTAATGGAGAGTCAAATTCCCCTTAGCACCACCCTGTACCACCTTGCTTGACCAAATGTCTTGACCTCAGCGCCCTCTGTTTCCTCATGTGGTAAGTGGGGACAAACAGGCATACCTATACATCAGTGATTCTCCACCAGGGGCATTTCTGCCTCGGGATGCTTAGGAAATGTCTGATGACATTTTTGGTTGTCACAGCTGGTCTGGCAGTGCTACTAGCCTCTAGTGGGTGCATAGGGTGCTGTTCAACATTATATAATATACAGGGCAGCCCCTCCCCCATAAAGCGATTATCCCTGAGAGCAGCAGTCTGTAGCCACCTTGTGAGGGTTACATGAGAAGTTAATGTCTGGGTGCGATCAGGTGATGCTATGAAGGCACCAGGGGAGCCCCTTTAAGTGCTACTTGTTATGAAATCACAAGGTTTGGGAGATGGTGAGAGGCATAAGATGTCTCCATTGCTGTCAGGGAGTTTACAGTCTGGCCCTGGCCAGTTTAGCTCAGCGGTTAGAGCGTCGGCCTGTGGTCTGGAGAGACCCGGGTTCGGTTCCCGCTAAGGGCACGTACTTCGGTTACAGTCTGGCAAAGGCTAGGTGGGTTGTCAGAAGGGGACACAGCTAATAATAACAGCTGACATTACTAGGCACTGACGACTGGTGGGTTATTTGGTGGTTTAATTCTTGAAACAGCCTTGTGAGGTTGCTGCTGCTATTGGCCCCTTTTATGGTTGGTGAGACTAATGTTGGGGCAAGCACTACAACAGATAAATGTTTCTGGGAATGAAGAGAAAGGGAAGTGTAATTCTAAGCAGGAAGCTTTGTTAGGGATATTTGAGCCTAGTAAAATAATAAGACTACCGATTCTTAGGCCCTGCCAAGCCCTGTGTGGTGTCCCAAGTGCATTTCAACAAGCTCCATCCCAGTAATCACCCTCCCTCAGCCCCACCAGCCTCCTTTGTGTTAGTTAGAGCAATGACACCTCAGGGCTTTTGCACGGCTGCAGCTCATCTGTCCTTTTTGGGTGTGACTGCTCACAGGGAGTAGACTGTAAC